ACACTGACATGCTCAATCTTATCGAGATGCAAGGTGTCTGGCCTCCCCAGGTCATGGCCACATTGGCGGCCATGGCGCCGAAGAAAGCATGAGGCGATCGTGTGCTAGGTGTCCTCCCTCATATCGCACGCACATGGGGTCGCATCAGAGGAGCTGCCTCAGATAAGTGGAGTGACGGATTACATGATTTCTGGTGTACTGCTATGAAAGGCTCATCGGCCCTCTCTGCAGCACTACATCGGGCGTTTCTTGACGAGTCGGCGGTCACCATGGGCTTGACAGTCGGCACCCTACTGATGGACCTCGCTAAGTTTTATGACCATGTAAAGTTGGCGAGACTCATAGAAGTGGGATTGGATGAGGAGTTTCCTGCAATATGTCTACTGTTGGAGGTTCAGCTCTTTCTCAGCCCCAGGATTCTGTGAGCACAGGGCTGGATTGCTGAGCCCATCTACGCGTTACAAGGAATTGTTGTTGGCTCTCCACGCGGAGTTATCCTGGCGAGACTGTTCTTGCTCCCCATCCTCACGCATGCCCAGCGACGGGCGGAGGGAGCTACTGCGTGGACTTTCGTGGATGACACGGTGGCAAGGTCGGAGGGCACAGCAGCCTCAGTGCTGCAGCAGCTGACCAAGGCGAGAGCAGAATTGAAGGCGGCCTTGGATCATGCTGAGCTCCCTGTCTCCGACAAGACAGTGATCCTCTCCAACAACAAGCAGGTGCGAGTGAAGCTGGAGCACAATCTTCGAAGGCGTGGGGTTCTGTCTCTGCTACGACGACGGCCACCGATCTGGGCATAGACATGGCAGCGGGCACCCGCAGAGTCCAGAAGAAAGCTGGAGAACGGGCTCGGGCGGCCACCACCAGGACCAAGCGCATAGTGAAGATGCGCAGCACGGCTCAGCAGGCACGTATCGCCAGGGGCCTTTGGGCCACAGGTTCCCTGCCTCAAGGAGTCTATGGCCATCAAGTCCGAGGGTTGGCTCGCCATGCACTTTTGAGATGGAGGAGGCAGGCAGCAGCAGCTGCCACTGGTCAAGCGGCGGGGCGCTGCTTAACCACGCTGCTGGGTACTACATTCGATGGTTCGGACCCTGGAGTCCAGCTTCGTGTGCAGTCCCTTCGACAGTGGATCAGATTTTGGCAGGACCAGCCTCATCTCCATCAGCGCATTCGACGGACGTGGGCCTTGTTGAAGACTAAGTTGACCATGGCAGGCCCGAAGATCTGGTCTTACGTCACTGGCCCGACGGGGGCCGCGATTGCTACACTTTTGGAAGCTGGCTGGGACCCCGAAGCGGCCGACTGCTGGCAACGAGTTCACGATGAATACTTGGAAGAATGGACACTCCCAGACGATGGAGCAGAGTTGGTCGACCTTGACTACGAGTCCGTCCTCGACGATTTTGCGGAGGACCTCCAGAGCAGGCTCTGGGCGACGGCGGCGGCGCACGAGCACGGCGCCTCCCTCGCCTGCGGGGCCGACCTGACCAAGATCAGGATCGAGCAGCGGAGGTTCCTTGCGTCAGGAAAAATATCGTCATGGGCATTGAACAATTGTGTGGTCTCTGGGGGACAGTGGACTCGAGAGCGCCTCCATCAGTCTGGTTATCAAGTCGATCGGTTATGCGAGCGTTGTAGCTCTGGGGCTATCGAGGATCTTCCCCATCGCATCTGGAAGTGTTCGGCGAATGAGGGCCCCGAGGTCTCAGCTAGTGATCATTTGGTCCCCCAGGCCCTCGCGGGCTTGGAGCAGGACCCCGCTCTGTGGCTTAGAGGCGTGCCCAGTCTCCCCTCCACCACTCCCTCCTTTGCCTCGTGGGACGGGGGTGGGGTGGAGGTGGTGGGTCCTGATGAGGAAGGTAAGCCTCGCTGGGAAGCCTGCAGAGACCCCCATGGGCGCCTCGCTCTTTTCGGGGACGGCTCTGGAGGAGCCTTTTCGGATGATCCTCGGAGGCGCCGATGTGGATGGTCGGTTGCGGCGCTCGTCCCAGACGGGGCTGGCCGTTGGCGAGGCCACACTGGCCTCTTTGGCCCGCTGGAAGGCCGACGACAAACGGTCCCGCGGGCTGAATTGCTGGCGCTTTGTGTTGCTGTTGAAGAAAGCTCGGGGCATCTGACGTTTGTGACCGACCATAAGCTCCTCCTTAATGGGTGGGGCCAAGGTTGGACTCGGAGGCCCCCTGGAGCTTGGTCTCGGCGTCTCAAGAACTGGGATCTGTGGGCCAGGCTCCGCAGGGCGTTGGAGCAACAACCCGGGCGTGATGTGGCCTTGGTGTGGACCCCTTCCCACCAGGATGAGACGCCAGAGGCAATCACCAATTTTTTTTAATGCCTGTGGCAACATCGTGGCAGACGCATGGGCAGGACAAGGAGCCGCCAAGAATTGGACGGCTGCGCGTGGGCCCCTCCCCTGCACCGGTCAGTGGGACGCCGCGGCGGCCTTGGTTCGTGCTCGCGCAAGGGCCATCATCAAGAGTATTGGCCCTGAGAAGGTCCTGCGCGGGGAGAGAGTGGGGGTCACTCGGCAGGCCCCGCCCTCCACCCGAGCCCTTTGTTTGAGAGCCTCCACTCACACTTTTGAGCGCTGTGCCGCTAAGTGGCGATGTGCTAAGTGTGAGCTACTTGTGGACGACTGCCGTCTCGACGAGTCGGCGCTCACGCAGTGTCCTGGCCCGCCTCCCACCCCGCTCTCGTCGGCGGAGGAGGGCCCACGTCGCTTCGGGGAGTCGGTGGTGGTTGAGGCGCGGGGGAGGACTCTCAGGGGCCAAGAGGCCCATCCCTCACACCAGCTGCTGGAGATACCGCAGTGGCGGGTCTTGTTTTGCTCTCATTGTGGGGCAAATGCTACTTTTCGGTTTGTCAATCTGTTGGAAGTTTGTGGCGAGCCGAGTCCCAAAGGGAAGGAGGTCCTTGCTCGCATTGCCAGGGGCCTGCATCCTTCCCACAAGGGCCCCTCGAAGGCCATTGCGGAGGCGGCGCACCGAGACGCCGCCCAATGGGCTCGGGCTCGTGCACTTGTAAGAAGCTGTGTCTTACCCCAGGCCCCTGGACCCCCACCCGAGGGTGATGGAGGGGCCTCGGGGGATGTGTCTGTGGCGGACGCCTCGGAGGAGGCTGTGGTCCAGGCGGAGAGAGGGGAGGAGTCAGGCGGCGGTTTTGAGGCTAGGGAGGCCGTGTGCGGGGGAGCGCGGTGCGCCTCTGCGGCTTCATCTTCCAGGCCCGCGCCGCCGCCCTCCCCCTCCTCCTCCTCCTCCTCCTCCGATTAGGCGTACCGCCCCCTTTCCCCCGCGCGACTCCTCGGTCGCTCTGCATTTAGCCCATTTAGTCCTCCCTGGTCTCCTTTTGTTTTCACCTCCTCATCATTTGCAGTCGATTTCTGCTCACCGTCGTCTTGCGACATCACGAGGTCGCACGAGCTTCGGACATGTGTAATCGATGACCCAGTCGCATACGCACACACACACACATACACACACGCACGCACGTACGCACGCACACTCGCACACTCGCACACACGCACACACGCACACGCACATGCGCGCTCCCTTGTAACATTCACGTGGTCCAAGGAACAATACGGATGCTCTAGGTGCAATATCATGTTTCACGTCCAGGCTCTTCTCAAGATGATTCGCCAGATGCCGTACGACGATGGGGCGGCATTATGCGACACCTGGGATGAGACGCGCAACTTTCTCGCTGGGAAAGATGTGGCACGGAATTCAGCCACGTCCCTCGACTTCGTCCGCTAGGATCCAGGGCCCGACCTGAGACATCTTACACCTCACTTGTTGCAGGCCCAAGCCCTCTGCTTGGTGATCGGAGGTTGGGGGGTGAGTCGCGGTGGAACGGAGAGCCCCCGCCGGGAAATCGGTTTCGGTTTCGTGTTCGTGCGTGCGGGCGAGGCGAAGCTGCGTGGGCGAGCGGGAGGACTGACCTCGCCGTCGCTGGGGCGATGCGGAGGCAGCGGGCCGCCCCTCTGCCCCGGTGCGCGCGCGGTGGCCCGGGGTGTCCCGCCGTGGTGTCTTCCGTTGGTGTCCCATTGGCGTCGCGTCTCTGTCCCGTCGGCGGTGGGCGGGCGGTGGCTGGTGGCGTCCCGCCTTGGTATCGATAGTGAAATTGACAGTGAGATCGATAGTGACACTGCCAGAACAGGATAGGTAATGAGATCAAGCATGAGATCGACAGTGAGGTTGATTGTGGGATTGGTTGTGAGATCGATGGTGAGACCGATAGTGAGATAGGTAGAGGAATCGATCGTGAGATCGCTAGTGGGATCGATCGCTGAATCCATTGATGCTAAGACTGGCCGAGAGGTCGCGTGATATCGAAAGCGGCGACAATAGTGGCATTACATCGCAGCGCAGCATCGTCGTCACGCGTCGTCGCTAACTCGAGGGTGGGTCACCAGCATCGTCATCATCACACCTGTCGCATTTGTCAGCAGTTGGTTCTTCCCCCGCACCCCCCAACCTCCTTATCACCCGAAGGGTGGTCGTATCTGCATCTAGCGTAGCGTTCCCTTCCAAGCCACGGGACGGCCAAATCCGAACGTTGGGAGAGGAGGAGTAGTTTTGGGATGGAGCCCACGATGAGACTTGGCCTGGGGTCCCCCCCGCCGCCAATGCGCCGTCTAGGCGCGGCTCTTTCGTTCGCTCGTGCCGCCGGCTGTCTCGTCCCTTCGTCCTCCTCCTCCTCCTCCTCCTCCTCCTCCTCCTCCTCCTCCTCCTCCTCCTCCTCCTCGTCCCTCCTCCTCCTCCTCCTCCTCCTCCTCCTCCTCTTCCTCCTCCTCCTCCTCCTCCCCTCCTCCTCCTCCTCCTCCTCCTCCTCCTCCTCCTCCTCCTCCTCCTCCTCCTCCTCGTCCCTCCTCCTCGCCCTCCTCCTCCTCCTCCTCCTCCTCCTCCTCCTCCTTCTCCTCCTCCTCGTCCCTCCTCGTACTCGTCGCCTCCTACTTGCCCGCGATGGAGCCCTGGTCCCCCCCCGCCCCCCCCGCCGAGGCCCAGAGACGAGAGGTCCTGGGAGGATCGCTCGCGCCGCGCGCCGCCAGAGAAGGGCGCGCCGGCGGCCGCCGCGGCCAGCCAGGCGAAGCGGCTGCGTTTGCATGGCCGTGCTGCCGACGTCGTGGTCGCCGTCGCCGTCGCCGTCGTCGTCCTCCTCCTCCTCCTCCTCCTCCTCCTCCCTCCCCCCTCCTTCCTTGCCTGACCTGAGCTCTCCCGCTGCGGCTGGGCCATCGTGCAGCCGAAGACGAGCACAGCCTGCGGCGTCTGGGGCCCTGCCAGGCCGGAGGCAGGCCGCTGGCCGGGCCGAGCGCTGGGCGTTCCTGCAGATGCTGCGCCCAGTGCAGATGCTGCGCCGAATGCCACACGCGCAGGGCCCACTTCGATGTCCCCGAGTCGATCTGGTCCGATTTCGATGGGTTCCGGTTCCGGTTCGACTTCGGATTCCGATCTGGATCTCGATTTCTCAAGCGGGGCCTGCTGGCCTGCCGATTTCTGCCGAATCGACTTCTCCCGACTCGGCTGCCGATTCCCGCCGATCCGATGCATTTCGAGCGCCGATCCGACTTGTCGATTCGATTCTGGGCTCTCCTGCACGCGTCCCACGCTGCCACGGACTTGGCCGCCTTGGCCAGGGAGACCGATGGCTGGAGCCCCGAGCCCGGCGGCGCGCGCGGCCAGTGCGCGGACATCTGGCGCAGCGTGTTCGGCTTGGCCGGCGGGCTCCCCAGGCCTGGTGCGACCCGGTGCCCTGCTTGTGCAGTGCCGTTTCGAATACATGCTCCGCGTGCGGAGCATGTCTTAACAATGCAGGGATTTAGCATTAAAAACAACGACGAGGTCATGCATATATTTTTTAGTAGATTGATCATGTATGAAAAATCCTATATGTTTCAAATCCTATGTATTTGAAAATGGCCTTCAAGGATGCCGACCTCTTCCTCCAGAGCGAAGGGCACCACGACCTCGGCGGCTTCCACGTCCATGCCTGGGCCGGCTGCTTCGCCACGGTCGGGGCCCGGCTGCACGTGCTGCCGAGGCCGCTGCATGACCCGCCCAAAAGATGGAGACTGCGGATACCAAAGAGGAGGTCGACCTTTTGGCGTTGTGTCGGGCCTGTCCCCCTACAGGGGGATTTTCGACGAAAAAAATACCCCCAAAATATTCAAAAGAAGGTCAAAACATATTCAAAAAAAATGGTTTCCAGACTATTTTTGGATTATTGTTGGATGATTTGGGGGGTATTTCTTATTAAAATCCCCCTGTAGGGGGACAGGCCCGACTTAATTTCAGCGTGGCTGATGGCGGCGGTGGGCACGACCATGGACGACATCCATAAACTGATCCCGGAGAGGAAGCGCCCGCTTGTCACCATGGCACCTGTACAGTCGGTGCAGTTGCGGCAGCGCCACCAGCTGGTCCGACGTGGATCGAGCTGGCTGGCAGCGCGTCGTCTGCGTGGCCTTGTTGGCGAACTCCGAGGCTGCGCGGCGGCGCGTGGAGAGCGTGCGCAGGAGCGCACCCACGGCCCTGCAGAGGCTCGTGCCTCTCGCCTGGACCCCGGTGGTGGGCAAAAGCCGCGCCAGAATGCTCCGGGCACCCCGAGATCCGACGCTAACAACAAACAGATATGGAGCGGGTGGTTTTTAGTTGTTTCCGGCCTCCGGGGGCCCTCGCCGGGCCTCTGGAGCGCCAAGAAACGACTCGGGACGGAAGGCCGGTCCCAGGGAAGTGGTCCGAGGAGGAGCAGCAGGAGGGGGAGGAGGAGGAGGAGGAGGAGGAGGAGGAGGAGGAGGAGGAGGAGGAGGAGGAGGAGGGAGGAGGAGGAGAGGAGGAGGAGAGGAGAGGAGGAAGGGGAGGAGGAGGAGGAGGAGAGGGAGAGGAGGAGGAGGAGAGGAGGAGGAGGAGGAGGAGGAGGAGGAGGAGGAGGAGGAAGGGGAGGTCCAGACCTTTGTGGCCCACGCATCGAAAAAATTGGAGCAGCCGATCGTCTGGGCATGCCGCGCCGGAGCGATCCGAGCCCAAGTCGGTGCCGAGGGTGCCCTGCTGGGCGCCTGCGGCGGCGGCGGCTCCCAGGGACCAGCTGGACGGGCCATCCTCCGAGGCGGCAGCCTCGATTCCTTCGGGCTGTGAGGCCGTGGGCGAGGAGCGTCTGCGGAGGCTGCTGGGGGCGCCGAGTCGCCTGGCAGCTGCAATCTTGCGGGGGCTCCCGTGGAGCCCCAGGTGCCCAGTGTGTCTAGCGGTGTCCAGTAGAGCCGCTGGCGTGGGCAGGGCTGCTGCTTCTGGCGAGGCCTCGAGCGGGCCCGATGCTGTGTCTAGTTGCCCATTAGGGTCTCGCCAGACCCGCACGGACCATGGCTGAGGTGGTCTGCCAATGGTAACTGTGCGCTGTTGAGTGAGCCTCTACACATCGTGCGGCCTCCTTCTTTGTTTCGGCCGTCCTGGTTGGCCCCCCGGCTGCCCAGACCTTCCGCATGGGGTTCAGGGCCCCATCTGTTTGGCTTCGCCGCTGCGCTCAGAATGGTCTTGCATGTGTATCTCGCTGCCGACGGTCTTTCCTTTCTGATCGCTGAAGCCTCTTGTTCGGTCCTCACACATACCGGCGTGAACACAAGGACTGGCTCGCGTGGAGCGCGGGGCGGGCTGGATGTTTCAGCGACGATGTAAGCAAAGCCCCGTCGAGAGCTGTGCCGCACCTCCCCTATGCCGACGGCTCTGTGCTAAAGCGCACCTGCCCGCCTGCCGCCCACATCTGAATTTTTCTGGGCCTTCATCAGTTTGGCCTCGCCGCTGCGCTCAGAATGGTTTCGCTCGTGCAGCTCGCCGCCGACGGCTTCTCCTCTTGATCGCCGGTGCCTGGCTCGGTGCTCCCACCTTCTGACGTGCAGGCAGTGGCGATCAATCGTCGTCCGCGTCTTTGTCGTCAGGGCAGTTCTTATGTATGTATGCGTATGTACATATATAAAGAGAGATAGAGAGAGAGAGAGAGGCGCTCCTCCTCCGATGGTCTGCCAACGACTCAGCGAAACCCCGCGGCCAACCCCGATGGTCTGCCAAGGGCAGCGCTGGGCGTCCCCTAGCGCTGCGCCCTTCTCTTGCCGCGCTGCCAGGCGGCGGGGGGGGGTCTCGCCAGCAGCGCGGATCGACCCTGGGTTGGCGGGCCCCTCCCCGGGCAACGACGGCGGCGACGACAGCGACGACGACGACGACGACGACGACGACGACGACGACGACGACGACGACGACGACGACGACGACAGCGCCGCGACGACGCCACGGCGACGGCGCCCGCGGCGACGGCGCCCGCGGCGACGGCAGCGGCGGCGACGACGAGCGGGAAGCAGCGGGAAGTGGAGGCGAGGGAAGTGGAGATATTGCGAGGTATCGTGGCTTCGAGGACGCAACCACGGCGTTATTTGCGAGGGATCGTGCACTCGGGGACGCGAACATTACGTTCTTTTACAAGGGACCGTGGCCTTCAGGACGCCTACCTTATATCATTTGCAAGAACCGTGGTTTCGGGCGGACACATGTTGCTGAATTTACACAGGATGTTTACTGCGGTGACGAGGCGGCGGCAGGCAGGGAGCCAGGGGCGGACCGACGGGGAGACCTCTCGCGGTTGGGGCGTGGGGGTGCCCTGGCTAGCGCGCGCCCCGCCGCGCCCCGAGCAGAACGAAGCTCGACTGGCTCAAAACATGTGCGTTGGCCAGTCGAGCCCGCTGTGCACCCATTGCTCGCGCAAACGGTTCCACTCACCCGCGCTCGCAGCTTGTTTGGCACAACACCTTTGGCCACGACTGCGCATCCCGGCTGGGACTTGCCCCGGCGCGCGCCCGCTCGCGCGCCGAGCGGCCAGCTGTTCGGGCACAGCTGATGCGGCCGCCCTGGTGGTGCTGGTGACCACGATGACGATGCTGATGTGCATGTGCCGGTGATGGAAGTGATTGACTGGCGATCGCGACAGTGCGGCGATTAATGGAAACGATCACGGTGGTGGTACGATGGCTCTGACGAGGCTGAAGGTGAGGAAGTGTGCGCGCGCGCAGAAGTTCAAGACATGCGAAAAGTGTTGTTGGAAATCGCGTCGTTCTTATTATGTTCTAAAGAGCTCTATCGCGACATGCTTCGGAAACAAATGGTTCTGGACGGTTTTTTGCGCGCGCGTAGCGGCGCGCGCTTGTGGCCAGCATGGTATTGATCGACGCGGGTTCTGGAATTGAGCGCATGCTTGATAGACAAAGGCAGGTACACCGCACGGTGAGATGGGAATGCGGTTTCTGGACGGGATCGCTAACACCATATGGTTGTCCCATGATTTCATCAAGTGCGGGCGGATAGAAAATATGTTCCCCAATCAGAGTTTGCCTCTGTAGGGGTCCTAGCGGATTAAAGGGTTAGGTGAGGTGCGTCGCCGATTTCGGGGGCCGGGCCCAGGTGCCTGGGTGCCCGGGTGCCCGGCGGTGCCCGGGTGCCCGGGTGGCCAGTGAGGTGCGTGGCCGATTTCGGTGGCCGGGCCCGGGTGCCCGGGTGCCCGGGGGTGCCCAATAGCCCAGTAGCCCTATAGCCCTATAGCCCTATAGCCATATAGCCCTATAGCTCTATAGCCCTGTGGCCCCATAGCCTTATATCCCTACAGCCCTAATAACCTTATATCCCTGTGGCCCTATAGCCCCATAGCCCATATAGCTCTATAGCCCCATAGCCCTATAGCCCTATGGCCCTATAGGTCACAGTCCTATAGCCCTATAGCCCGATAGCCCTATAGCCCGATAGCCCGATAGCCCTATAGCCCTGTAGCCCGATAGCCCGGTAGCCCTATAGCCCTATAGCCCGCCCTATAGCCCGATGATAAAGGGAGCAATTGGAAGATCAAACAAATCTGATTGGGTTTTTCTCCGGTATCATAAAATCCGTAAGGATTTAGCCCATCGTCGCCGGCCCTCTTCTATCAGAACGGGATACAGGAGCTATATCAGGATGTGTTGTGCCGTCTCGAAGACATGCTGATGCTGACGCCGATGGTGATGGTGATGGAGATATTGCGAGGTATCGTGGCTTCGAGGACGCAACCACGGCGTTATTTGCGAGGGATCGTGCACTCGGGGATGCGAACATTACGTTCTTTTACAAGGGACCGTGGCCTCCAGGACGCCCACCTTATGTCATTGGCAAGAACCGTGGTTTCGGGCGGACACATGTTGCTAAACTTACGAAAAGGATGTTTGCTGCGGTGACGAGATTATAGTGTAATTTGCAAAGGTTTATGGCTGAAGTTTCGAGCAAACAGTCCGTGCACCCGCCCGCAGCGCGCTATTTGGCAAAACACCCTCGGCAACGATTGCGCATCCCGACTAGAACTTACTAGCGCAGTTCTACGGCCACGCAGGTGCGCGCACGTTCGCGCGCAGATCGACGAGCTGGTTTGGTACAAATGATGCGGCCGCGATGGCGCTTACCGATGAGAACTTCCAGGCGTGTCTCCAAGGCTCCGATGGTTCGCGGTTACTTCAGTACGGGACGGTCACTCGGGCGGATGCTATCATGACGACGTCGGCAAAGGCAGCAACGTTGATAAATGATAATAACGATGGTGGTGATGACAGTAACGACATCGACGGCAAGGCCAATAACGGCGCCGGTGGTCGGGGGCTGTAACGATGATGGCGACGAGAAATCCGTGCCGGTGATGAAGTTGGTTGTGATGATGCGACGATGATGATGATGTTGTGATTATAATGATCATGATGATGTTGATGTTGATGCTGCTGATGATGCTGGTGATGGTGATGATGATGATGATGGTGATGATGAGGAGGAGGAGGATGGCAGCACTGGCGGTGATTGACGATGACGATAACGGTGGTGATGCAATGGTGCTGGTGAGGGTGATGAAAAGTGCGCGCGTGCGAGCATTCAAATCATCTGGCGCATTGTCTGTTGAAGCACAGGTTCTTTTCCACATGCGTTTGAAGAGCTCTATCTTGGAATGCTTCGGGGCCCACTGCTTTTGGAAGGACTTCGACACGCGCGCGTGGCGGCGCGCGCAGTTGGCACGCATCATGCGGTTTCCAGCGTTGGGCGCTTGCTAGATCAGCTCAGACGCACCGCGTGGTGACATGAGAGCGCAAATTCTGTTCCAAACCGATTTGGAGGAGGATGAGGAGGAGGAGGAGGAGGAAGGGAAGGAGGCGGAGGAGGAGGAGGAGGAGGCAGGAGGAGGAGGGAGGAGAGAGGGAGGAGGAGGAGGAGGGAGGAGAGAGAAAGGAAAGGAGGAGGAAGAGGAAGGAGGAGAGCAGAAGGAGACGAGGATCAGGACGAAACGAGAACGAGGACGAGGACGAGGAAGAGGAGGATGAAGGGGAGAGAGGAGGAGGACGAGGAGGAAGAGGAAGGAGGAGGAGGAGGAGGAGGGGGAGGAGGAGGAGGAGGAGGAGGAGAAGGATGAGGATGATGATGATGAGGAGGAGGAGGAGGAGGACGAGGAGGAGGAGGAGTAAGAGGAAGAAGAAGAAGAAACAAAATAATGATAATACGAATAGTACTAATAATACGAATGATACGAGTAGTACTAATAATACGAATAATATTACTAATACTACGAATAACATTAATAATAGTAATAACAACATTATCAACAATAATAACTATAGTAATACTAATCATAATAATGATCATACGAATAATAATAATTATGATAATACAAATAATCATAATACTAATATTAGTAATAATACTACTAATAATAATAGTAGTAGTAGTAATAATAATAACAATATTAACAGCACTAATAATACTAAACATAATAATAATAGTAATAATAATGATACTAATGCTAAGAATTAAAACTATTAAGAATAATCCTAATATAAGTAAGAATAAGAATAACGATACTACTCGGAATAATAATAATACGAATGCTAAGAAGAAGAATAAGCATACGAATAAGAATAATAATAATAACAATAAGAAGAATAATACTAATAATATTAAGAAGAAGAAGAAGAAGAAGAAGAAGAAGAAGACGACGAGGAGGAGGAGGCGGAGGAGGAGGAGGAGGAGAAGGACGGAGGAGAGGGAGGAGAGGAGAGCGGAGTCGGAGGCCGGAGGCGAGGCGGAGGCGGAGATGAGGTTGAGGCGGAGTTTGAGTCGGCGGCGGAGGTGGAGGCGGAAGAGGAGGAGGAGGAGGACGAGGACGAGGAGGGAGGATGATGATGAGAGGAGGAGGAGGCGAGGAGGAGGATGAGGAAGGAGGAGGAGGAGGCGGGGGAGAGGAGAGAGGAGGAGGAAGAGGAGGAGAGGAGGAGGATGGGAGGAGAGAGGAGGAAGAGGAGGAGAGAGGAGGAGAGAGGAGAGGAGGAGGAAGAGAGGAGTGAGGAAGAGGAGGAGGAGGAGGAGGAGGAATGATGAGGAGAGGAGGAGGAGGAGGAGGAGGAGGAGGGGAGATGGGAGAGGTGGGGAGGGAGGGGGGGGAGGGGAGGCGGAGGCGGAGGAGGGGGAGGAGGACGAGGAGGAGGAGGAGGAGGAGGAGTCAGAGGAGGAGGAGGAGGAAGAGGAGCAGGAGCAGTAGCAGGAGGAGGAAGTGGAGGAGGCGGAGGAGGAGGAGGGGCTGAGGTGAGGGGGAAGGGGACTTCGGCACACCCCCGAAAACAGCAGCTGCGCCACCGCGGCGTGCGCAGGGGCAGCCGCCGCCGCGGCAGCCTCCCACCAGCGGCCCCGCCGGCGGCGCCAAGATCGGCGAGCCGCCCCGGGCGCAGGCGGTGCGGGGGCCACGGCGATGAGCTGGATGCGCCCGAGAGGGGGGTTGAGGACTTGTGTGTGTGTGTGTGCGTGTGTGTGTGTGTGTGTGTGTCTGTGTGTGTCTGTGTGTGAGTGTGTGCTTGCGTGTGTGTGTGTGTGTTGTGTGTGTGCGTGTGTGTTTGTGTGACTGTGTGCGTGTGTGTGTGTGTGCTTGTGTTTGTGTGTGTGTGTGTGCGTGGCTGTGTTCGGCATGTGTGCGTGTGCGTGTGTTTGTGTGTTTGTGTGTGTGTGTTTGTACGTGTGTCTGCGTCTGTGTCTGTGTTTGGCTGTGTGTGGCTGTATGTTTGTGTGTGTTTGTGTATGTAACTGTATGTGTTTGTGTGTGCGTGTGTGTATGTGTGTGAGTGTGTGTGTGTGTGTGAATTGTGTGTGTGTGCGTGTGCGTATGCGTGTGCGTGCGCGTGCGCGGGCGTGTGCGTGTGCGTGTGCGTGTGCGTGTGTGTGTGTGTGTGTGTGTGCGTGTGCGGGGGGGGGGGCATGGTTTGTGCCATGATGCCCCCCCAGATGTCATGACCCCCTCTTCTACTTTCCGTGCGCTCCCTGGGTTCCCCCGAACCGTGCACGTGCGTCGGCCCACCAATTGCGAACCCCCCTCTTGGACGCCCCTTTCCGGGACACCCCCGGACCTCGGGATGACGGCGACGACATCGGCGCCTTCGTCGTCCTCGGTCGTCGACGTCGTCCTCGTCCTCCTGCGGGCCCGACGCGCGCGCTGAAGACACATTCACGGCCGAGATGCGCATTCTGGGCGCTGGCGAAAGGAGTGTTTCCAGAGCGAAGGTTCTGGAGCCTTACCGTGTCGGAAGCAGAGGTGAAGGGATGAGGAGGAGGGGGAGGAGTGGGAAGAGGAGGAGGAGGAGGAGGAGGAGGACGAGAATGAGGAGTAAATAGGAGGAGGGGGAGGAGGAGGAGGAGGAGGAGGAGGAGGAGGAGGACGAGGAGGAGGAGGAGGAAGTGGAGAGCGTCCTGCCATCTAGCCGCCCAGCGGCAGCACTGCTTTGACACTGGTCGCAGCCTCTGGCGAGATCACTGTGGGTACCGTAACCTTTGCCAGAGGCACGGCTTCTGGGCCAGATCTGTTCTCCCTACGTCGGTGGCATCGACGGAGTCCACGCGGGAGGTCGCTCGTCGTGCACTACTTGCCACTTATCTGCCTGCCTGCGGTCACGACGCCCGCAGACGCCGACGGGAGTGATGGGTCGCTGGGTGTGCGTTCGAAGGTGTCATGCAGGGCAGATGCTCCCCCTCTCCAGCCGCCGCCCATCTTTCGTCGAACGTTCTGCTGCCGCTGTGTGTGTTTTGTTGTTTTGTGCAGTGGAGCAGGCCACAGGGGATATCCACACTGTCTCCCAGGCTGTTGCTATTGATCGTCAGTCTTCGTTGGCCAGCCGCCGAGAGACAAAACAATGATCCCCCTCCAGCCGCCAGGCGCGCCAGGCGCGGCAAGAGGCGCGGTCGGCGTCCCAGCCGCCGCCCAGCGGCGGCTCAGAGCCGCAGCAGGACCCGCACCAGACCACCGCGACGTGCCCGCCAGAGGCTCGCGGGCCGTGGGAAGTCTGGGCCCGCGAGACCAGGGCATTGCAAACCACTTCAGTCAACATTGATAGTATGGATGCCCGATGAGGATGCGAGCCCGTTGGACGCCCATGTCGAAGCTTTTCGAGCGGGGCGGGCCATCGAGAGGGGTTTGAGGATGTACCGAGGAGGCGAGGATGCAAGGGTACCCTCGGGAAGGTGACCCATCATTAAACTCAAAGGTGCGTTGCACAATGTACTAATATATCTGTACATGTATATATATATATGTATATATACATATACATATATATATATATACATATATACATATATGATGCTCTAAGTATGGGTGGCATTGCGTGCGAAGTGCCTGTTGGCGCCCCCTCCCCCACGTCGGTCATGGTGGGATTTCCGAGTCGGCCTGGCACAGGCCGAGCTTCGTTTTACTTCGACATTGAAGGGGACGACGTTGACAGGGGGACAGGGGGGCAACATTGCAGGGGCGTGTGACCAACTTTGGTGGTTACTTTTGTTGAGTGTTGGAGGACTTTGATGTATTGAGTTGGAGAATTACATATGGTGCATGTTTCGGCCCATGGCTGTTTTTTTCCGGGCGCGCACAAATTCCTGGTTTGTGCAACAACCCGTTGACGGGGCCTTCAGGGAAGGGGACACCCTTGGGAGGGCCAAAGACCTCCCAAACTTTGGCTGTATCCTGGATACGAAGCAGGCGGTTCTGGCAGCTTTGGGGCGCTGAGGCTTTCAAGGGGGTGGCTGCGAAACCTCCCAGCCGATGGGGAATGCCACGAGAGGAAGCATCGAGTCCGGCAGGGTGAATTCTCCTTTCCAAAAAAATAGAGTCTACCCCCCCCCATCGGAGTTAAAGGTTCCCCTGGGGTATTGTAATGACATTTTTATGTTGCGCACTTCTCCATCCTAAATACGAATTCAGACTATCCCAGCCAGGCCGGTATCGCCCCCCCCCCCCCCGCCATCTCTGTCAAATCATACTATGCGCGCACACTTCTTCATCTTAAGACAGCACATGTCCATAATCCCTTGCAACAGATACCACAAAGTCATCACGAACGCGTCCATGTCAAAATCGTACCAAACACCGGGTAATTGCAAGCATGTCAGCATACACACATAAAACAACCCAAGGGTTCTGCAACAACAAATTGCAAGTTTCCTGTCCGCGCGCTCACGCTACAATCATATCAGAGTTGCAAGATTCTTATGACTCATGCCAAATCCAGCGATTTCATGTCACCGCGCGGTGCACCCGCGATACTCCTGTCATGCGCCGAGGGCGCGAATCGTTTGCAAAAAATACCACACCTGCCATATGCGCGCACCGCCGCGCGCGCATGATCAGTTTGACGGATTTGTTGAACTTCCGCGCGCGCGGATTTCCTTTTCAACCTTGTCAGCATCACCGCGATCGCCTGCCTCATCGACAGATGGACATCAACATCGTCAGCGTGTTTGCCATCATTGGCGCCGTTATCGTTCGTGCCGTCGCCCTCTTGAACATCGTCGTCGTTGGTGCCATATTCGTCATTGTCGCAGACGCTGCCGACGTCATCTTGACATCGCGCACCTCCGAGTATCGTCGATATGCTCACCTTCATCATCGACTCACGATGACGAGAATCGGCAGTGAGGCTGTTATCATCGATGTCGTCATCGGTGGCGCCGCCGTCCCCCGCATCATGAGTCTCGCCAAACAAGTTGCGGGTGGGAGGGTGGGATGTTTGCGCGAGCAGTGGTGATGACGATTTCAAGTTCAGCAGAGTGGACTGCAGCATGCAGAATCCGCCACATAGATGGCACCACATAGTGTGCAAAACATACGTTGCACAGCGTATGTTCGATTTTCTAGAATTAGAATCTACCGCCCCCCCAGGGCCGGGATTGTCGGCACCCCTTGGGGATGGGCAAGTTTGGTTTTACCCCATCGTTGGTTCGAGGTATGATCCCATACCACCCCAGAAAAGGCCAAATTCGACCCCCTGCCCACCACCCTGTGCAAAACGCGCTGTGTGTGCGCACGCTCGTATATCACGCACGATCGATGTCCAGGAACCCCTTTGGAACAAATGGGGCGACATGCGCACGCGCGCGTCGTCGCGCGTGCATGCCGAGATCGGCCAAACAGCGCTAGGTGCTGCACGGGTTTCAACATCGAGCGTCCCGACTATATAAATATGTACATATACATATACATATACATATACATAAACATATACATATACATATATATACACATATACAAACATACATACTCCGAACAAAGTGTGTGTATATATACACATATTGATATGACTATATTTGTGTACATGTACACTCGAACACACGCTTGTGCAAAATGGAGTTCGCGCGCTCTTGCGAAATCTTAAGATGTCCAGTGAACGCGACAAACTTGCCTTTCGCTCGCGCATGTTGGAATGATTCGAGCGCCCTTGCGCGAGTGCTGGGGAGGGGCACAATCCCGGTCAAATAATAGCATGCGGGCCACTCGCGCCCGTCAGTCGCGCGCGCATGTCGAAATCTTCACAAGACCTTCATCGCCGACGCGTGGACGCCATCAACGTCATTTCCGTGATCAGCACCGTCGCCATCAGTGGCTTTGCCGTCGTCATCGCCATCGTCATCGTCGTCACCACCATCTCTACAATTATCATCGCGTCTGCCGTTGTCGACGCTTCCATGATACCGCGCCCGCCCGAGCCACCGACTCGCACTGACGTGCCCGCGCGTCAGCGCGGCCTGCGAGGTGTTGGGAAGTCCCCAGCGGTCAGCGCCGCCGCGGTCGCGTCGGTCGCCCCGCCGCTCGGCGCGCAAGCTTGCGCGCGCGATCGCGGCCGCAGCGACGCGCCAGCCGGCGCCAAGCAGTCATCGCATTCGCTGCCGCATAGGTTTTGCAAAGCAAGTTGCAAGCGGTTGGGTGGGTTTATTGCGCCAGCGGTGGACTTGGCAATTTCAAGTTCGGCATGGCGAATTGCGCCACGTAGATTGCCCCGCGTTGCGCCCGCGCCCTAGCGAATTCTCGAGACAACCAGAGGTCGCTGCCCAACCATCCTGCGGTTTTGGGTCCTCGTTTTGAAGAGACAGTGCCCGGCATTATTCCTCTCCTCTCCTCTCGTCTCATTTCCTTTCTTTTTTTCTTTTCGAATCCCCCATCCCCCCTCCTCCCGTCGCCCCCTTCACGCGCTTCGTGGCCCCATAGGGGGCTCCATCGAAGGTTCCAGTGGCGCAGCCCGCATGCATTTCCCCCACCTATTACAGCGTTTCGCGGCCCTACAGGGAGCTCCACCGCAGGTCCCAGCGGCGCAGCCCGCAGCCCCACAGGGAGCCCCACCAGAGGTCCCAGTGGCGCAGTCCGCATGCGTTTCCCCCCACGCAGCACAGCGCTCCGTGGCCCCATAGGGCGCCCCACCGAAGGTCCCAGTGGCGCAGCCCGCATGCGTCTCACCAACCCAGCACATCGTTTTGTGACCCCACAGGGAGCTCCACCGAATGTCCCAGTGGCGCACCCCGCATGCGTTTCCCCCACGCCATAAAACGTTTCGTGGCTCCACGGGGCGCTCCTCCGAAGGTCCCAGTGGCCCAGCCCGCGCGCGTCTCCCCACAGTGAGCTCCACCGAAGGTCCCAATGGCACAGCCCGCACGCGTCTCCCCCACCCAGCACAGCGTTTCGCGGCCCCACAGGGAGCTCCACCAAAGGCCCCAGTGGCGCAGCCCACATGCGTCCCCCCTGCAGTACAACGTTTCGTTGCCCCGTAGGAGGTTTACCAACGGTCCCGGGGGCGCTCGCAGCCCCATGGTGCGCCCGGCCCCCCCCCCCCCCCCCCCCACGCAGCGCGGCGCCTCGTGGCTCCATAGGGGGCTCCACCGAAGCTCCCAGCGGCGCAGCCCGCATGCATCTTTCCCACCCGCACAGCGCTTCGTGGCCCAATAGGGCGCCCCACCGAAAGTCCTAGTGTCGCAGCCCGAATGCGTTTCCCACACGCAGTGCAGCGCTTCGTGGCCCCACAGGGAGCTCCACCGAAGGTCCCAGTGGCGCAGCCCGCATGCGTCTCCCCCACCCAGCACAGCGTTTCGTGGCCCTGCAGGGAGGTCCTCGGACCGTCCCAGGGGCGCAGCCTGCATGGTGCCATAGGGAGCTCCACCGATGGCCCCAGTGGAGCAGCCCTCATGCGTCTCCACCACACAGCACAGCGTTCCGTGGCCCCACAGGGAGCTCCACTGAGCGTTTCAGTGGCTCAGTCCGCATGCGTCTCCCCCGCCTGGCACAGCGCTTCGTGGCCTCATGGGAAGCTCCGCCGAAAACGATGCCTACACCTGCAGTGTTCACAATTGAATATGGTTGGGTCCTTCGCCAGGCTAATTCAACATTTTCATTGCGTGCTACCAAACGGGCATCTCGCGCGCGCATGTCGAAACCGCCGGGGCGTTCCTGCGCGCGCGCTGTCGCAGTAATCCCTTGCTGAACACGGAACGAAGTGCGCGCGTGCGCGTCGTCGTGCGCTCGCCGATCTTTCAAAAACCTTCGGTTTCGTCATGAGTTTAAAACCGATCAAAACCGAGTGCCCCGAACATCTACAAGTTAGCCTGGCGAAGACCCAACCACATGCAATTGTGATCGCCGTCGTTGTATGCACCGCGTTCGAAGGAGCTCCCTATATGGTCACGAAACGTGGGAGGGGTGTGCCAAAATTTGCCCGGTGGGCGCATGCGAAAGCAGCCACTTAAGCCTTCGGCGGAGCTTCCTATGGGGCCACGAAGCGCGTGAGAGGTGTGCCGAGAAAGGTGCGGTGGGCGCATGCGAACGCAGCCGTTGGGGCCGTCGGTGGAGCTCCCTGTGGGGCCGCGAAACATGTGATGGGTGTACCGAAATGGGTGCGGTGGGCGCATGCGAACGCAGCAACTGACGCTTTCGGTGGAGCTCCCTATGAGGCCACGAAGCGCGTGAGGGGTGTCCTGGAATGGGTGTGGGGGCGGATGCGGGCGGT